TTCCTTCCTTCCCTTCTCCCTCTCTCCTTTCCTTACCTTCCTTCCTTCCCTCCTTCTTTCCTTCTCTCCTCCCTCCCTCCCTCCCTTCCTTCCCTCTCCTTCTCTCCACTGAACACTGGCTGACTGCAGTAGCTATTAGAGCCCCAATATCGGTACTTGTCTATCCCCAGTGATGGTGACTCCAGGGTTTCTTAGGAAGAGCAAGGCCCCACAGCAGTAGCTTAAGTCCCTGTTCAGAGCTGACCTAGTTGACTTCAGCTCCCTCCATGCCCCAAGTGGGAGAGGCCAGAAGGGCTGATGGGTGGTGATACCTCATGTGTCCCCCAGACGCTGCAGGAGATCTTCCAGGCGGAGAACACCATCATGCTGCTGGAAAGGTCCATCATGGCCAAGGAGTGTCCGCTGAAGGTGGCGCAGACGCGGCTGGAGTGCCGGACCCGGCGCCCAAACGTGGAGCTGTGCAGGGACATCCCACAGTTCAAGTGAGAGAAAGGGGTGGGACAGTGGGGTGGAAAAGCCTGGGGCATCCAGGAAGGGGACGGGTGGGTCTCAGAAATGGGTCCCCCCTCAGTCAGGACATCTAGTCCCACAACTCAACAGAGTGCTGGGTTGGGGCGGGGGGTCCTGAGGTCCAGCCCGGGCTGTCCCTCTATAGTCCCCCTACAGTGCCCCATAGTCCCCCATCACTGGAAGGCCTCCCCTGTGCATGCGGTCTTCTGCTTGCCTAAACTCCTAAACTGAGGATGACTCTGGAGTTCTTCTGTGCTCTGGAGACCTTCCTGCTTCCCCTGGGCCTCCCGGCTGTCCATGGCTCTCTCTTCAGGCTCCTGTGGGAGGGGAGCCCAGCTATGCTTCACTCACTCCCCACCTTCCTCTTGGCAAGCTTCTTGCCTGTGATCCCTTGGGATGGACTAACCAGTGCCACACTGGGTGGGTCGTGTGTGTCCTGCTGAGCTAAGACAGCTTTGTCTGTCACAAAGAACTTCTCACTGGAGAGGGGGTGAGAAAGGGGGTCTGTGGGCATGGGGGAGGCCTGGAGGGGTATGGTGCAGACCGAGAAGCAGAAGGTCATCAGACATGGGTGTAATCTCCCCGGGCAAGTGCTATGTGACCACTCTGTTCTCTCTGTGCTGGGGGCACTGTATAGTTGCCTACTGCTGTGTAACAAATCACCTGAAACTTAGTGGCTGGAATGAACCACAGGCACCAACAGCCATGCTGGAGGAGTGGGAAGAGCTCGAGTTCAGCCCCTCTCAGCAGCTCGCTCACTATATAAGCCTTATTGCACGTTAATTATGCCAAGCACTGTATATACTTGGCTCACTAGCAGTACTTCTCTTTCAACAAGATACTGATTTGATAACCTACCCCACTGCCCTGAAAAGAAATGGAAAGAACAGCTTCCAGCTTCCCTGGACACTTTATTTCCACCCTGGCCTACAAGTAAGGGAAGTTCCCTTGATGTCTAACAGTGATCCCTTAAGCTGCTTTTAAATTCTGTTCCCTTTAGCCCTACTCCTAGGAGAGTTGAAGAGTCAGTTACTTCTATTATTGTAGAATGGGAAGAAAAATTGAAGACCAAAGACGTTGAGAGAACCACCCAAGTGACACAGCGCTAAGCCAGGGCTTAACTGGGCAGGAAGTGCAGGTCTTGGTCCAGGGATGGACCCCAATCCCTCCATCCTGAGGTGGAAACCCCACAGGTATAAGTGGGGAGATGCTGAGAAGAGTTTCCAGTGCAGGGGGAGGTGGATATTTAAGAGCACGTGCTCAGGGGTTCCCAAATGATGGTGTTTGAGCAGCGTCTGGGGACTGCCAGCAATCCTTGGAGTTTCTTGGGTTGTGGCTTCAACTCCCACATCTGCCTCCATCTCCACGTGGCTTCTTGTCAGTGGGTCTCTGTGTCTCCAATCTCCCTCTCCTCTCTCTTATATGGAGATCAGTCACTGGATTCAGGGCCTGTTCTAAAGCCAGGATTATCTCATCTTGAGATTCTTAACTACATCTGCAAAGACTATTTCTAAATGACGTCACATTCACAGGCACTGGGGGTTTGGTCTTGAGCATATGGCTTTAGGGGGCAGTAACTATCCCACTCCACCTGGATATGGTGATAACCTCCTAACCTCTCTCCCCTCTCACCTCCTGCCTCCTCCCAGTCAGCAGCCTGAGGTTGTCCCAGGGCTCCAGTTTACACACCGACTTCCCACTGCACCAAGAACAGAATCCAAGCTCCATAATTTGTACATGCTCCTTTCTTTAGAAAGGCACTTGTGTCCAATTCAGCGGCCACAGGCAGCTATTTCATTTAAATTTAAATCATCTAAAACTAAATTAAATTTTGAATTAAAGTAATTCATTTAAAAATTCAATTTGTCAATTGCATAGCTATGTTTAAAGTGCTGGTCAGCCCCCTGCGGCCAGCGGGGACCGTACTGGATGGTGCAGATGGAGACGGTTTAGTCATCATAGAAACTTCTGTGGGACAGCACCCGCACAACGCATTCCCTCCCGGTCTTCCCGCAGCCAGCTCGTTCGTCTAACATACTGAGGACCGGTCACAGTGTCTTCCTGTGCTCTGTCTCTCTCTTCTGTGTGTGTCACCCTCGGCAGCCTGGTACATAGCCTGTTCTGCCTGTTTCCCCCCCAGAGGGCTCAGCCTTGTCTGTCCTGCGCCCCCGGGTCTCCCAGTGCCAGGCACAGTTTCCAGTGCAGAGGGCGCCGAATAACCTGTGCCTCTCGTCTGCCCTCACTGCAGGCTGGTGAATGAGGTGTTCACCATCGATGACACCCTCCAGACCCTCAAGCTGAGGCTGCGGGAGACTCAGGACACGCTGCAGCTGCTGGTGATGACCAAGTCCCGGCTGGAGCACGAGCTGGCCATCAAGGCCAACACGCTCTGCATCGACAAGGAGAGGTGCATGCGCATGCGCAAATCCTTCCCCTGCACCCCACGCCTGGTAGGCTACAGCTGAGCGGCACCGCTGGGCTTTGGGGCTTTGTTCCATGTGGGTTTCATATTTTGTGCCTGGCATAAAATATGAAAAGGCAAAAAAATGAAATAAAAGAAAATGTCACATTCTCCCTTTCCTCCTATCACGAGATAAATATATATATATGTATGTATATATATATTTGGAGCCAAAATAAATGTGCCCAACCAAAGATCCTGGAGCTCATTCCTTCTGCAGGACTGGTAGGGCCCGAAAGAGGCAGGCTGAGATCCCTCGTGGGTGGAGTGTTGGGAGGCTGCATTTTTTGTCTCACTCTCTTTTATTTATTTATTTATTTATTTAGAGTCTCACTCTGTCACCCTCAGTACAGTGCTGTGGCATCATAGCGCATAGCAACTTCAAATTCTTGGGCTCAATTGATCCTCCTGCCTCAGCCTCCCAAGTAGCTGGACTACAGGTGCCCACCACAATGCCCACCTAATTTTTCTATTTTTAGTAGAGACAGGGTCTGGATCTTGCTCAGACTAATCTCGAACTCCTGAGCTGAAGCAATCTACCCGCCTCAGTCTCCCAAAGTGCTAGGATTACAGGCGTGAGCTACGGCGCCCGGCCTCTCTCTGTTTTAACCTGTTTGTCCACTGTTGAGCACAGTGGAGACCTTGGAATCCATGAGCTCAGCTCTGCCACTCAGGAGCTGTGGAGCCCTGACAAATTTCTACCCTTCCGTCCTCATCTACGAAGTGAGGTCAGTCAAAGGTGATTGTCAGCAGCGTGGGGCAGTGCACAAAAGTAGGATTTGGAGGTAGAAGTTCTGGGTTTGCTTCTCAGCTTTGATGGATGGAGAATTGCTAGGGGAGGAAAAGGAGGCAGAATCAATTAAGTGTGTGCAGAGGAGGCTGGTAAGAGTTAAGGGAAAGCTCTATGAAAAAGGGATATTGCTTCAAAAAGTTAAACATAAGACTACTCTACGGCCCAACCATTCCACTCCTAGGTATGTAATGAACAGAAATGAAAAGAGGAACTCAAGCAAATAATTGCACACGAATGGTCAGAGCGGCAATATTCACAATAGTCAAAAGATGGAGGGAGGGGCCTGTGGCTCAATGGAGTAGGGCGCCAGCCCCATATGCTGGAGGTGGTGGGTTCAAACCCAGCCCTGGCCAAAAAAAAAAAAAGTGGAGGCATCCCAAATGCCTACCAATGGATGAATGGGAAAACAAAATGTGATCGATCCATATAGTGGAATATTATTCCACCACAAAAAGGAAGGAAGTCGATACATGCTACAATGTGGATGAACCTTAAAAACAGTAAGCTAAACGAAAGAAGGGTCAGTGGGGGCCCAGATCATGAAAGACAAATAGTTTTAGATTGTTTTCCTGAGTTCAGTGTTTCCCAAACTTCACTATTCACATCAGTGCTTCTCAAACCTTTCTGTGGGCTCCTGGATCACCCGGCACCTTGTAAAAATGTGGATTCTGCGCCAGTCGTCTGGGGTTGGCCTGAGATGCTGAAGTTCTAACAAGTTCCCAGATAGACACTTTGAGTTAAGCATTCAAGTAACACCTCAACAGTTTTTACTATAACCAGTTAACCATGTTTATACTATCATTGATTCAATCTTTTCTTTTAGATTGTCACACTAAAATAATATATTTACAAAAATTTATTTTAACAGCAATTTATATAGCATCACTGCAAATATGAAATCTTCTTGGCCAAATGTCAAAAACAAAATATTGCTTATGACATCTGGTTAGATAATACTGTCTGCCCAAGACCTTAGATCTGGGGCCTTTTCTCCTTTTGTTCAAAGAGAGAGCAGCAAGTCTTCAGTGTTAGCAACAACTTAGCACCTAATGGCATGCCACTCTCCTTCAGTCAACTTCAAACATACCTTGAGGTAAGTTTGACTGAAGGAGTAGAAAGTCTTACAAACCTGCTTCAGTGCTGTTTAGGGCCTGGAATGCATCTACCTAAGGAAACACACCTGCAGACAACAGGGAGCCCTAAAGATCATGAAAGCGGGGGTGTGAAATCCCCAGATTAGTGTTTTAGAAATAATCCCTTCAGGAAGAAGGGAGACCAAGCTGTTAGGACTTCAGGGTTAAGATTCTGAGGCTGAATTTACACAGTGAATTTAGAAATATTCATGAGGCTGGAGCCACAATCCTTGGCATGTAAGTTATAAGGGGCAAGTGGAAGACCAGACAGCTGGTGCTCAATCTCTACCCCTAGGAGTGGAGTGGGTGGTGGGGTCACATAGAGAAGTGGACAACTTTCCCCTTCATGCTTGTAGCTTGAGCCACCTAAGAGACATCTGTGACTTGAAAGGCAAGTGCAAAGGTGTCTTTGTTCTCCAGAGGTTAAGGAGCTGTGCCTGGAGACAGCGGAGCTCTGCAGATCCTCAGCAGTGAGTGAGTTGGTGAAAGAAGGTCCTAAAGAGTGAGGAGTTGGATGTGCAGTGTGAGGCTGGGGTGGGCAGAGGACCTGGGGAGTAGCAGAGAGAGTACAGAGAGAGGCAAACAGAACCCAGAAGTAGCAATGTCAAGGAGATTGCAGGAAGAGTTGCGAGAGTGGGATCTTCAACAGTGTCCAGCACCTGGAGAGGCAGTTGGATGAAGAGAAAAGCAAGCTCTTTGGAAGCAGTCATGCTAAACATACCATTGATTATGACACCCAGGGGTGCACACTTTTGGAAACTGAATTGACAATGTGCATCAAGAGCCTTAAAATATCACACCCCTTGACCTATGAATGTCTTTGTTAAGGCTCTATCATTAGAAAACAATCCTAAATGTAGACCCAGATATATTTGTTACAGAGTTACTGGGTTTCTTTTTTTAACGTAGGAAATCATGGGAAGTTATGTCCAGTAATAAAGAGAGCAGCTATGGGGCAGCGCCTATGGCGCAAAGGAGTAGGGTGTCAGCAGGAGGTGGTGGGTTCAAAAAAAAAAAGAGAGAGCAGCTACATAAGTTATAGCACAACCCAGACATAGAATATAAAGTAGCTACAAAAATGACACTTACTAAAATGCCTAAAGCCAAAAAAGGCTAATAGCACAGGGAACAAAATTGGTATTATGTTCAAAATTGGTACCTGTTCTCCATTATGTCTCAAGTGCTCAGGAAATGGCACCTGTCTTGCTTCTTGGCATAGTTGTTTTGGGATTTATCCATGCTATTATGTTATTCATAGAACTCGGTTGCTGGCCATGAGCCTTGAGCCCCACATGATTCCCCCCCTCCCTCCACAGTCTCAGCTTCTGCACGGCTTCTCATTGACTAGGCATGAGCTGTGCTGTCTTTCTGTCCTTTAACACACCCAACTGACTCCTGCCCCAGGGCCTTTCCACATGCTGTCCTTGCTCCCTGGAATGCTTTTCATGGGGAAGGCTCCAGCATTCTCAGCTCAGATACCACCTTCTCAGAGAAGCCTCTCTGACCACTCCACTACCTAGCATGTATCACCTGCCACCTGTGACTAGCCTATTACTTTTTTTTCTTAAGAGGCAGATTCTCACTCCATCACACAGGCTAGAGTGCAGTAGTTTTATCATAGCTCACTGCAACCTTGAACTCCTGGGCTTATACAATCCTCCTAACTCTGCCTTCCTAATAGCAAGGACTATAGGCACATGCCACTATGCCCACCTAATTTTTATTTATTTAGGGGGATGGGGTCTTGCTATGTTTTCCAGGCTAGTCTCAAACTCCTGGCCTCAAGTGATCCTCCGACCTTGGCCTCCCAAAGTTCTGGGATTACAGGTGTGAGCCACCACACCCAGTCCTTTTACTTTATTTTACATTCTTCACCACACTTACCACTACCTGAAATCATGTTTGTTCATTTACTGTGTGCCTCCTCACTAGTGTGTGAACTCCACAAGGGCAGGAACATTGTTCACATCTAGAATGGGATCTGCATTAAATTGGCACTTAAAGAAATGTATGAATAAATGTATGGATGAATAAAACAATAAACAACCCATTAAATACTTATTTCTGTCATGATGCTTTGGTGTAGATTAAAAATTCTGGAACTAACAAGATAAAGATGAAATTATTCATCAGCTATGGGGCTTGAAGAAAACTCAAGACAGGCTTGAGCTGAGCTAAGATCTCCAGGCTTCAGCTGACCAGCACACTTTGTTTTGTTTGTTTGTTTTGAGACAGACTCTCACTATGTCGCCCTCAGTAGAGTGCCATGGTGTCACAGTTTATAGCAACCTCAAACTCTTGGGCTTGAGCGATTCTCTTGCCTCAGCCTCCCAAGTAGCTGGGAATTACAGGAGCCCACCACAACACCTGGCTATTTTTTGGTTGCAGTTGCCATTGTTGTTTAGCTGGCTGGGGCTGGATTTGAACCCACCAGCTTGGGTGTATGTGGCAGACGCTCTACCACTGAGCTATAGGTGCCACCAAGACCAGCACACTTTGGTTCCCACTTGGAGAAGCAATAACTAGAGACCAGAGCCCTCACTGGACTTGGATTCAGCTCCCCAGCCTTAGCCGTGTCCATAGTTTGCTGTCTTAACCTCCAAGGGCCCAGCTTCATTCTACTGAGGTGACCCCAGAAATGAGACCCTTGATCCACCAGCATCCCTTTCCTTGGGCTCCCTCCTCTGCCTCCACCTCCCTACTTTCCCCCTTGGTTGTGGGTTTGGTGATGCCCACCATGGGGCTCATTTCCTACATTAGGGCTGCAGCTGACCATTTGGGGAACAGGGACTCCAACACTCATAGTCTTCAGATGCTTCACCACCCTACACATCAGTGGGCTATGCAGCCACAGTCCCCTCATGCTTAATATGCCTTTTTCCATAGGTGATCTCACCCCTTTCTCTCCTTTAATCCCACTTATCCCTGACTGCCTCCCAGACTTCTTCTAACTTCTAACTCCAGGCTCCAGGACCTCTGTCCTGATAACATCTCCAGCTTCACCTGCTCAGTTCCAGGCACCACGTGTTCCTCCCTAAGGAAAAGCCCATCCAGTCATAGGCCCAACCTTGGAGTCATCCTGGAATCTTCTCTTTCTCCCACACCCCACATTTAATCCATCAGCAAGTCCCATCAGCACTACCTTCCCAACCTTTCCTGAATGTGACCACTGCTCC